TCCCCGGGGTCCGCAGCCTCCCCCGCTCCGCCGAGCCCGGCTGGCGGCTGGCAGCTGTCAAGGAGGCAGCGCGCGACCGTGGCCGGAGGCCGAGTCCCCCCCGGGCAGGGGCAGTGCCGGTCGCCTCACCCCGCCCGCAGGGGCCGCTCACCCTCCATCATCTCCTGCGACTGTTGCTGCCCCGCGCCGCGCTCCGCCGCCATGTTGGCTACTCTCCCCTTTCCGGAATCTGTCGCCTCAGGACCGTCGGCCAATCAGAGCTCCGGCTCCGCGCGAGCCGGCCAATGGCACACATTGCAGCGGCTCCAGCCCCGGCGCGCCTGCGCGGGCCCGGCGCCTCATGGGAGTCGTAGTTCACCGCGAGGCCGCCGGCCCCTCCACCCTGGGGCGGTGATTTGAGGCGGGAGCCACGGCTCCCGGAGGCGAGAAGCTAAGAAGGAAGGCGGGGGCGGAGAGGCCCTGGGCCCGCGGGCCGGCTCACATGCATACCGCCTCCGCTAGTCCCGCTGGCCGCGTCTGTACGATGGGCCGAGCGGCAGAAGTCGCGGCTCTCTCCCTGCGTCCCCGCGCGGGTCTCGGCCGTGCGGCAGGCTGTCTGCCCTCGATCTCAGCGAAGGGCGGGCAACTGCGGGCGCCGCGGCCTGCGTCGGCCCCTAAGGCCCGCGGGTCCGCGGGGAAGCTGCCCCGCGTCCGACGAAGGGCGAGCCCCACGCCGCTCACCCTTCTCGATCCCGAAGCGGGAGGAAGCGGCGTCTGGGCGGGTGGCGAAGTCCCGCATCCCTTTTGGCTCCTCCGAGGCGCCGTAGGGGGCGTCCGGTGCGTCCCTAGCAACCGTTAGCGCGGGCTTCTCGGCGCTGTCTCTCCGAGTCCCGCCCACAGGCACCCCTGGTTGGCCCGAGGGGCTTGTCAATCGGCGCTCTGCGCTCTGCTATTGGCCGGTGGGGCTGGATGCGCAGTCGGCTGCCTCCCTCCGTATGAACTGAGTTTGGCGGCACGACCCTCATCCTCTCCAGGTAAGATACCTGCACTCCGCGGTTTTCCGAGGGCGCTCTGCCGGCCCCTTGGCCCGGCCTTCGGACGAGCCCAACCCCCGGACCCTGGCGCCCCGAGCGCCCCCCGCGCGCCTCCGAGTCTGCGTGCCGGCCGTTCAACTCCTTCCCTGGGCTCCATCCCTGGGTCGCGGCCCGGGTGGCGGGGTTCGGGCCGTTTGCCCCGGGCCGCGTCGCACACGCTGGGGTCCCCCGCCCTGCACACCGGGGACCCTCTTCCCCACACTGGGGGACCCGCCCCCCACACTGGGGGCTGCCTTCTCCGCACACTGGGACACCCCCCACCCCCTGCCCTCACCCTGGGGACCCTCACCGCCTGCGCCCACAGTCCTCAGAGCGCCTTTCAGTGTAACCCCACCAGGTTGGATGTAGCCACTCAGGCGCTGTCTTCTCGCCTAGATTTAATTGGGTGCATTTTGTTCATTTGTTTATTGCCTGTCCTACTAGAAGGTGAGCTCCAGGGAATTAGAGCTCGTGTCTTGCGCTCAGCTGCACCTCTGCACTTAGGGCAGTGCGGAATGAATGAACAGCTGTGCGCTCAGCTCACTACTTCCCGACCGCTGCACCTGAGTGTCCCATGCTTACCTGGACTTTATCCTTAATCTTCTCTTCACCAGTTGTTCTTTTCCCAGAGCATGTGTGTTATCCGTTTCTGTTGCTTACGACGAAATTCCTGGAATTGGGTAATTTGTAAGAAAACGAAATGTATAGGGCCGGCCCGTGGCTCACTTGGGAGAGTGTGGTGCTGATAACACCAAGTCAAGGGTTAAGATCCCCTTACCGGTCATCTTTAGAAAAAAAAAAAAAGGAAACGAAATTTATTGCTTACATTTTGGGAGGCTGGGAAATCCACAGTGCAGGGAACACATCTGGTGAAGGTCTTGGTGGTGGTGACAGTGACCCAGGGGTCTCACAGAGCAGAAAGTGGCTGAGCAGAGAGAGAGAGACTCTCGTGTGCTCTCCTTTTATAGCCCTCAGAACCACACCCATGACCACCATTATTAATCCATTCATTAGGGCAAGTCCTAAAAATCTAATCACCTCTTCAATTCCCCACCTTTCAATTACCATAATAGGATTTCCCACCCTCAACAGTTACAGAGGGGATTAAGCTTTAATGGCTTTGGGGGCCATTCAATCCAGTGCAAATGTAAAGTGAAAAGTGAAGTGAAGTATCATAAATGGAAAATGTAGGTGTTGAGGGAATTGTTTTTCAGCATCAGTTTTTTCCTACACATGTCCATTTGACTGAAGTACACCATCAGGAATTTAGTTAAAAAGAAAAGGGGAGTTGGAGAGGAGGCACTATGCCTGCTTACAGACACCAATTTCTTTATGTACATTAAAGGAGTGGGAAGTGGGACAATGAAAAACCAAAGAAAATTAATCTGGAGTAGTCAGAATGTAACAGGAATGGGGGTGGAGGGAAGACACCAAATTTGCTAATTGAGCATGTGTTGTTCTGGAGTAGAGCAGAGGCTCTCTATAGTAGGCACTTCCACCCACTGCTGCGACTTGGAATTTCTCTCCATCTGCCATTCCTGATTGTGCAGGTGTGTCCTTTACATTGATGGCTCCCATCAAACCACCTCATTTTTTTTTTTTTTTTAAAGTTGACCGGTAAGGGGATCTCAACCCTTGGCTTGGTGTTGTCAACACCACGCTCAGCCAGCGAGCAAACCGGCCATCCCTATATGGGATCCGAACCCATGGCCTTGGGGGTTGTCAGCACCGCACTCTCCCGAGTGAGCCATGGGCCGGCCCCAAGACCACACCTTTCAATTACCATAGTAGAACTTCACACCCTCTTTACACTCTCACAGTGAGGACTAAGTTTCCAGGGGACATTAAACCCGAGGCATTCTGCCCCTGGCCTCTAACACTCATGTCCTTTTCACACACAAATGCATTCATTTTGTCCCCAGCCTCTTAACTTGTTTCAGCTCATAAGTCCAAAGTTCAAAGTCCCATATGAAATCAAAACAAGTTATCTACTTCCAAGATACAATGGTGGGACAAACAGCCTACATATTCCCATTCAAAACGAGAGAAATAGGCCAAAAAAGGGGTAACAGGTCCTAAACAAGTCCAAAACCCAGCAGGGCAGGCATGAAATCTCAAAGCTGGTGAATCATGTATCTTGCCTGATTCCATGTTTGACGTCCTCTGCACACTATTCTGGGGGTTGGGTCCCCAAGTCCTCAGGCAGTTCTGCTTCTTTGGCTTTCCTGGTCTCAGGTGATACTTTAGTTCTCGCAGGCTGGCATTGCACTCTGGTACCTCCACAATTCTGGGATCTCTGTGGCAGTCCCATTCTCATGATTCTGGTAGGCATTGCTTTGATGGCGTTTCTGTGCTGCAACTCTGAGCCCACATTTCCTCTTGGCGTTGCTCTAGCGAGGGTTGTCTGTGTTGACTCCACCCTTGTGACATATCTCTTCCTGGGCCCCTAGACTTTTCCATACATCCTTTGAAATTGAGGTGGTGGCTCCCAGGAGCTCACAGTTCTGGCATTCTTCCAGCCTGCAGACTCAACACCATGTGAATGCTGCCAAGGCATCCAGCTTGTATCTTTCAAATATACAAAGGTCTAGCCCTTTGGGGCCAATATAGTCAGGGTTGGAGCAGCAGAGTTTTGGGAAGCAGTATCCTGAGGTGGTCCTGGGCAGTGAGCCTATGGAGGGTACCTCATGCCTTTTCCCCCAGACCATTTTGTCTCCCTAGGCCTTTGGGCCTGAAATGGAAGGATTGGCCTCACAGGTATCTGCAGTGCCTTCAGGGCCTTTCCCCCCTTCTCTTGATAATTCATTTCTTTTGTACTAAACTTAGCACCATTTCATATTTTTTCTGAAAATGCTCTCTGCTTCTCTACCACATGACCAGGCTGCAAATTTTCCAAATCATTACATTCTGCTTACCTTTTAAATTCTGCCTTATGGCCGGCCTCTGACTCACTTGGGAGAGTGTGGTGCTGATAACACCAAGGCCACGGGTTTGGATCCCTATATAGGGATGGCCGGTTGCTCACTTGGGAGAGCGTGGTGCTGACAACACTAAGTAAAGGGTTAAGATCCCCTTACTGGTCATCTTTAAAAACAAAAGTAAAAAGAAAAAAATAAATAAATAAATTCTGCCTTTGCTGTCATAACTCAGCATAGGCTGTTATAAGTAGCCATGCAGCTTCCTTAATGCTTTGCTGGTTAAAAATTTCTTCTGCCAAATACTGGTTCATAACTCCTAAGTTCCAACTTCCACAGAATCCTAGGGCATGGACACAATGCAGCCAGGTTCCTTGCCTGTTCATAGCAAGGGTGTTCTTTGTCCCAGTTTCTAAAAGGCTCCTTCTCAGGGCCAATCCGTGGCTCACTCGGGAGAGTGCGGTGCTGATAACACCAAGGCCACAGGTTCGGATCCCACATAGGGATGGCCGGTTGGCTCTCTTGGGAGAGCGTGGTGCTGACAACACCAAGTCAAGGGTTAAGATCCCCTTACTGGTCATCTTTTAAAAAAATAAAAATAAAAGAAAAAAATAAAAAGCTCCTTCTCATGTGTATCTGAGATCTTCTCAGAATGGCCTTCACTGTATTGCTATCAGCATTCTGCTCACCACCAAGTAACCAATCTCTAAGACATTCCAAAATTTCCTGGTTTTCTTGTCTTCTAAACTCGCACCAGCAGAAAGAAAATGAAATGTATTGCTTACAGTTTCTGAGGCTGGGAAGTCTAAAGTCCAGGGCATACATCTGGTGAGGGTCTTGGTGGTGGTGACAGTGATGCAGGGGTGTCACATGGCAAAAATGGCAGAGCAGAGAGAAAGAGAGTCTCACTGCTCTCCTTTTAAAGTCCTTGGAACCACACCACTGAGCACCATTTTTAATCCATTCACTACTTCATGGTCCTACAATCCAATCACCTCTTCAAGGCCCCATCTTTTGATTACTACACTAGGATTTCCCACCCTCTTTACGCTGTCACAGTGAGGACTAAGTTTTGGGGGACATTCAGTCCAAGGCAGCATGGCAGTAGCCTGAGTTGGAAACGTACTGTGCTGTCTTGATACCTTTCATTCCATCTTCTCCTCACTCAGTAAATCCAGACAGTTCTATGTCAGGTTTTCTCTTATGGGGTCCCTTCTCCATTTTTCTGCCATTGTCTTAATTTAAGACCTCATCATTTCTTGCTTGGATTACTGTG